TGCTGCAATGGTAATAAATGTAAAAACTGGTTATAGCTCACTTTTTTCAATTCCCTCATAACTTCAAATGATTACTAAATGAATGATTGTAAGTTAAGGACCACCTGTACAGACACCTGTACAGGCTTTCAGAAAAAAGATTTTAAAAAGAAAAAAAGTATGGAAGTGTACTTACTGACTCTGTGCATTTAGATACATTTTTATACCAAAAACATTGCTAAAGATGAGTAGATATGATCAAGAACTCTACATATTATACTGTATGTTCTTAGTGCCTTACAAAGCCTTCACACTACAAAGATTTAACACATGGTCATTTTCATTCAGTGAATGAAACTATTTCACTATTCAGAAGCAGTGATTAGAGCTTCTGTGTACTCTTGATACATAGTACAATTTATTCCATAGGGTTTTTTTTTTAATCTCAGTATGATTATTCTGCCCCTTCCTTTCTTTCTTCCTTGGACATACTGTGATTCTTAACACCCTTTCGGTAAAAATAAGGATTGCATACCAGGATATGGAATCAGGATCTGACTTGACAAACAGAGGAGGGAAAGGCACTTTGTGCTGTAGCACTTTACCTTGCTTACATATTTTATAATACAACTAATCTTGGACTACATGCAAAGTTGCAAATTCTTGAGTAATATGAGATCACAGCTAGAGCAAACATTCTATGTTATGCTGCTAATGTTGATACGAAGTTGCACGTTCCATTCTTTTAGTAGTATTTACTGTATTGTTAATACTGTTAGTTTGAAGTTTGAGGTGGGAAACACAACCCCAAAAGCTATCACAATAAAGGTAAGTTTGCTTAAATGTTACAGGGATAGAAGAAAGAATTGCTGTTGTTGGTGAGAGGACAGGTTGCGCTTACAGTATTCTGCCGTGCACTGTTCGTATTTTTAACTGACTTTAAAAAAATCTTTAAGTATCGTAAATCTAATTTAACAGGTATAGTTCATAGTAAAAAAGAATAAAGATATGAAGAATAAGGAAACAGATAGATGCTCTTACTGTTATCATTGGCTACACTCACTTAGTGAATTCAATGTAAAATCTCATTTTCTTTTCCCCCTAACTCCTTGATACGTATCACTAGTCAGTGAGCAGTGAAATTGAGGATTGTGTTTTGGAAAAGGACTGCACACCACACTGAATAAATTACTTTTGGTCCTTTATTGTTGTTTTCTAATTCTTCAAAGATAATCTAAGAAAAAATGTGATAGTATAGCAAACTACATTTTGCTTTCTAGAATGTTAAAATTAAAATTCTAGAATAATACATGTGAACAGTTTGCTATGGAACTGAAACTCAAGAATAAAATTAATATCCTTCAGAAAAGCTGCAAGTTCTGTGCACAAAATATGTGTTGAAACTGCTGATCAACAAATCAGGAGATTGTGAGTTCTAGTCCTGCCTTATGCATGAAAACCAATTGGATAACTTCGGGCATTTTCAGCCCAGCCCATCTCACAGGGTTGTTATCAGGAAAATATTTTTATAAGATAAAAATATAATAAACAAGTAAATAATTAAAAGTTATGCCAATAGTTCAGAGAAATCTAGGGAGACAAACTGCATCCTTGAGTAAACTATTGGTTTATTTAAAAATAAATCTTATATTCCAAATTTCTTGGGATATTTGGGGATTAGGTGAAATTAAATAATAGGAAGGTATCTGGCTCCAGAGTAAGTTCCCAGTTCTGGCATTATATGTTAAATGAAGAAACTATATAAATTGTCTAACTAAATTAATAAATAATAAAGATATGGTAATTGTATTAATTTTACTATAACTTCTCTCACATTTTGGTGGGAAGCTACTGCTTGTATCATTTCTGGGGGACGTTTTTGTTTTTGTTTTTGTGAAGAATAAAATGGATAGTACTACCTTGTTTCTCTGAAAATAATACATCCCCTGATAATAAGCCCAATCAGGCTTTTGAGCGCATGTGCTAAAATAAGCTCCCCTGAAACTAATCCCTGTCCAAAAATATTTAAACACATGTGCAGCCAGTCCCCCATCATTTCCTCTGGTTTCCTCCACATGATAAGACCTCCCCAAAAATAAGGCCAAGCGCTTATTTTGGGGCTCAAAAACATATAAGACAGGGTCTTATTTTCGGGGAAACACGGTATACATGAACAATCAAGCTAGTACATGAACAACTGATACGAATATCCCTTCCTGCGCTTGAAAGAAAAGATTGCTAAAGGCAGGTGCGGATATGAAGTGTACTTTCCCCTCCCCTCCTCCCGAGACAGGTTTAGTGTGCTTTTAAAGTTTATTTTATGAGAAGCTGTGCAGTTTGTAGATCTTTTTTATAACTTCTCGTGTCAATGTGGTTGTGAAAACTAAATGAAGTAGCGGTAAATAATTCTTTTTTTTTCCAATCAGTTTTGCTTTTCCCCAAATGGGATACCCTCTGAAGGAATGGATAAAGGTTGTGAAAGGTGGAAGGGAAAGGAACCTGTATAATTTTGCTGCAAGACAGAAAGAAAATAGTCCTAAAATTCCAGTTATATATATTTTTTCTTTCCATTAACGGGCTATGCTAAAAACAGGATTTCTGGAGGTATCTGAAGACATTTCAGCCTTTCTGGGCCTTCCAAATGCAGAAGACTGCAATTCCCACAATGCCCAGCATCTGGGATGGTGAGAATAGTAGTCCAGCATAGCTGGGAGGGACCAGTGTAGAAAAGGCATTTCAACCCTGGCCATTTTCCATAGGGAGGGATTTCAAGCACTGAAATAAATAACTTGTCAATTGTTCCAAGATTATATAGCTATTAAAATGAACCTCTCCAACACTGTGCCTTTTAAAGTGGTGGCTTGCAACTCCCGGAATTCCCAGTCAACATGGCCTTTGGAATTCTGGGAACTAAATTGATACTTGAAGTGCACCAGGCTGGGACAAATATTTCCTTATTGTCTTATTTACCAGAATGTAAATATTTTTGTGTTGTGTGTTTAATTTGTTAGAATTCTAACACACCATATACTTCCAAGAAGTATCTCAATGTCAATATTTTGTCAATAAAGATTTATCAATACAGCTTAATTTTTTTTAAAAAAAAGAATATCCCTTCCACTACTGATTACCTATTTCACATTTAAGTTGCCAAACAACAGCAATAAAAAGCTCCAAGAAACAAGAGGGTGTGGAAAAAAACCTTGGCAAGGTAGACATAGTTTTTCCTTATCGCCACTTCTATTAGAGCAGACAAAAGAAAAAAATGCCTGATGTTTGAACAAAAGTTCAAAACTGTATTTATCAAGTTTTAACGTAACATTCTGAATGCAAAAATACTCAGAGTATTAAATGTGTTTGAGAACTTCCTTATGTATTCTGGTTATTTTGACTGAACATCAGAATAAAATAGTGTAAACTTACGTATAAGTCTGATGCTTCATTGAAGTTTGATGGAGTGACTGATTATATGAGATGGTTGGTTTTAATATCTCATGACAGTAAAAATGCTTGCAAATAATTCTTTTGGAAAAATCAAATATTTGTAGTCCTTTAAAGTGAATATATTTTCTTTCCATCAAAACATTATCCTTCAAAACTAGACTTTATCAGTTGAACATTTAGTATCAGGATAGCTAAATGACTGGAAAGCTAAAAAAACATAGAATCATTTGAATGTTAGAATTTGCACAATCCATATCCCATTGAGTCATCCTTTCAGATATATTTCTTTACCTAACCACAATTCAAATCCAAACCCAAACCATTGGTCTCCCACATTCAACTGATCCCCTGCAATCTTCCCAAGTTTCTCCAGTGATTTGTTGGAAGGTCTTAGGAAAGTTGTAAATGAGGATCACATGACTATGGCAGTGCAGCGGTGGTGCTGAACATCAGCAGAGAGAGGCACTGAAATGGCTAAAACTTTCTAAAACTTTCTTCACTTATGAGTAATGGTTTGCAGCATTCTGTAAGTTAATTTATTTGAGGTACGTCTTCCCCCATGATGCATAATTTTGCCCATTTAAGAGTTAAAGACACAGGAGCAGTGGTGGGTTGCCCCGGTTTACACCGGTTCTACAGAACCGGTAGTAAAACCGGCGGGAGGCTCCGCCCACCAACCCCGACATCATCAAAACACTTCTGCGCATGCACAGAAGCTTCTGCATGAGTGAAGCGAGTGTGCACACGTGGCCCCACTGCAAACCGGTAGTAAAGTAGAACCCACCCCTACACAGGAGCTTTACTAGGATATAGATTCTAAATGGAACCAAGCTTTAGCAGTATTTTAAAAAATGTTCAAATCTGGCCAGCAGCATTACTTTCATATTTGCCATGTGCACAGTTTCAGTCAAACAATCCTCTGACTCCATTTCCTTAGGGTCTTGCATAAAAACAGGGTGGAACAACAACTGATGACCTCCTTTTACCAGTCCACCATATAAAACGTCCTCACTTATTGCATCATGGTATGGCATTGCTGGTTTGACAGCTGCAGATAGAAAAACATTACAGAGGGTGGTGAGCACAGTACAAAACATCGTGGGCTGTCCCCTGATACCAGTAGATGAGATCGCATGGGCTCACTGCCTTAGAAGAATGAGGAAAATCCTCAGGGATGACTCAAACCCTGGTCACCACTTCTTTATATATCTCCTACCATGGGGAAGGAGATATAGAAGCATAGCCAGCCGCATGAACAGCCTGAAGAACAATTTTTACCAGTGGGTTGTCAGACTCCTGAATGCAAAATAACATCATAACTACGTAGTACGATGGACTTGCAGGGCCAGCGCAATGTGTAACATGTTCACACTGGTGCAATAAGACTGGGTGGTTGTTAATATGATTTATTGGGTAAGAGATTTTCTGTCTTCGCTGTGAGTTGTATTGTGTTGGGGGGGAGTGCACTGAGGGAGCTCAACCAATCTCATTGTACATATGTTGTGCATTGACAATAAAGATTTGAACTGAACTGAATTGAATTTGAATTTGAATTGAATATTACCTTCTCATTTCAGAAGTGCCTAGTTGCCATTCCATTTACATGAGGCAAGAAGGCTTCCTCACTCACCCAAACAGAACAGAAGTTAAGTCTCTCTGTATATATATCCTTGTATGTATGTGTGAACTTTGTTTTCTTATTGTCTAAAAACAGGATTTTAGCTTAGACTAAATATGTTAAAAATGGACAGAATTAGAAAAATATTGTAAAATTGTGGTGCCTGTTTCTGAAACTCAAGCTTTCTTTTCTAAATAGCCACATATAAGCTCTGAAAGACAGGCCCGTGTTTGGATGATTTTAATTCTTTATTTCACATTTCTTCAGGTATATTCTAAGTAGCTTATGAGACAACTCTTTGTTACTACAATAGAAACAAACCTTTTCTCTAAAACAGAAAGCAGCATGGCAAAGTACTATTTATTCTTCAGGTTTAGGTTTATTTGGAACATATTGTGCATTCCCTAGTTACCTACTTTTGTACATCATGATAGATACTGTATATTTCTATCAAAGTAAAGAATAAAGAAAAGGAAAAAAAGTATTTTTTATAAATTATAAATCTACCAATAGTGATGCTAACAAGGCTGGTCAATAAAATTCATGATAAGGGGGGAAAAATGTTCACACTTGTTTTAATTCATCAGTTCATTTAATTGTGAACTTAATTGTGACTTAAAATAGTTTCTAGGGAGGAAGAGAGGAAGTCCATTTAGAATTGCCCTAGAGCTGTAAGAACAAGCAATGCACAATCTGGGTTAAAATCTTGGCCTGGGATGAGAGCAGTGCAAGAAGACCACCCAGGGTGCCCTGATGCTTCCTTGTGGAGAAGGAGGTTTCCTCCCTTCCTGGTCAGATGCTTTGCTGAGGTCTGCCCTCAGCAAGGAGGGCCTTGCTCTGGCTAATTCCTCCCCCTTTGATCCCCCTTTGAACTTCCGTGAACACTGTCTTCCATTGTACCAGCCTGCCGTGGCACTGCCCTGCCATCCTGAGCAAACTTCTCTCACAGGATTTGAATTGCTCCTCCACGTTTGAGAGTGTTGTGGCTCTAACTGGCTTCCTTTCTACAAGGGGAAGTGTCTTTCAGATGGTTCTTAGCACATGCTGGTTTGTTAAGTGGCTGTCCTAACGTGATCCTGGGTAAGTCTGGCTCTTTTCTGCACCCCTCTTGGTGTTCCCCAGCCAGTGGACTTTGGCTCCTGGCTGGCAACTTCCTGGCTCTGTTGGGCTGGACAGGATGTGTGCTGTGTGTCCCAAAGTTTCACTTTGGAAAACCAAGAGAGAAAACACTTGGCTAGTCTTTTATACAATAATCTTGTAAGATGTTTCTTGAATTCTAAATATTACTCTTTCTAGATTTTTGAAATCAAAAATTCATTAAAAAATTTCTTATTTTTTTTTTAAAAATCATTTTACTATATTAGGTAATGAGAAATGTACGGTTGTTTACCATAACCTGTTCATTAATATCAGACATTTACAATAACATTTAAGAGCATAGTAGGGTTCTAGCATACTGTGTAGTACCTCATGGAATATTGTAAGAGCTATTTGTCCAAGATGAATTGCTTCTCATCTTATTATTCAATTCCAATATGTTGGTTTGTTTCAAATTTGTACCTTGTGTCAAATTTCAAGTTATTACAGATACACCTTTTTGACCAGCAACAAGACTTTTTCTGTCAGTGTTGTCTGTCAGAATACACTATGTATATAACACTCATGTACCTAACTGCAAGATGCATAATGATCAAGGAGGATATCTATACCAAACTAACAAACCAAATAAAGGTAGATTTGGAGAGATGGAAGAACCTGCAACTTTCCTTTATGGGTATCTTCTGCCAAAGATACTTTTCTTGTTTCAAAATATACCCATAAAATTAGAGAAAAAATATTTTGGAGATTTGAATAAAATAATGTCAAAATTTATATGGCAAGGAAAGAAACCAAGAATCAAATTGAAATTACTGCAAAAATCAAAAGTTCCCGATGGGAACTGTACTATCAAGCTGCTGCTATCACTTGGGTTAAAGAGTTGATAATTTTATAGAATAAGAGATTATTAACACTAGAGGGCCATGATATTCAATTAGAGTGGTATGCATTTTTATGATATAGAAGACACATCCATATCATAAAATGTTCATCAATATTTTTAAAGGCACTATATATGACATGCTCTATTGGTGGTATGGAACCAAATCAAACAGCAGAATTATATGAAAAATACCGGTCTGACTATCCACATTAGAAGCACTGGTACACCCAAATCTCATCAATCTGGGAAAAATCATCTCATACAAGGATATACTAAATGAAAAAGGGGAATTGAAAACTAAACTAGAATTAAAAGAACGGGGTGGAATTGGAGTGGTGGTCATGCCTACAAATTCAATCATATTACATGAAAGATGTGAAAACATGGGGTATTAATAGAGAACTAATGACTCTAGATAAATTACTATTGGGGACAGATGAGAAATTGATAAAGGTAATTTATAAATATTTATTAGATTATAAAGTGGAGGAAGAACAAGTCAAAGAGACAATGGTGGTATGGGGCTAAAAATTTTGGATACAATATTGAATTGGAAAAGTGGCAAAAGTTGTGGGAAAGAAACAGGAAATTAGGACCGGCCACATCATACAAGGAGAATTTATATAAAATGTTTTATAGGTGGCACCTTCCTCCAGCAAGATTAGGTAAATTGTTTAGTAATATATCCCCAAAATTCCTGAAATGCAATTACGTACCTGGTAGTATGTACCAGGCACGTACTACCACATGTGGTAGACATGCAAAAAAGTTAAAGAATTTTGGTGACAAATTTAGATGTGGTTAGAGGAAATGGTTGGACAAAGATTAGAATTTAAACCAGAATTATTTTTATTAGGAATCATAACAGAGGGACATAGTAAAGGGTCAATATTTAATATTACACATCATAGCGGCAGTGAGAATGATATATGCCCAGCAATGGAAAAATGAAAATAAACTTTTAGAAAGAGAGATAATAAAGAAAATATTGGTTTGCACAGAAATAGATAAATTGATGTTAGAATTAAAAAATAAAGGAGAGACAGAATATCATGATGTATGGGATAGATTTTACCAATGGATGGAACTGAGAGGTGGGAGTTGGAACAAGAAATAACCAGGATTTGTAAATCTGAAATGTGATGTAATATATGTAAATATAACTGAGTACATTGGGTAGAATAATTATATATAATTAGTAATGTTTGAAGAGTATATATGATATTTGTTTTATACTTTAGTGTGTATGGTGGAGATGTCACCAGGATGGTCGTGCTGTGTTCAATATTTTAATAAGAAATGAATAAATAAATATTTTAAAAAAGCATTCATGTAGGAATAAATGTGCCATCCTTTTGTAAAAAAAAAAAAGTTTCTAGATTTCTTTAGAGAACTAATTTAGCTATTATAATAACTTATTTCTTTAACAATTGACCAGAGTTATTTAAAATCACTATTCTTTGCTTTTAATTAACAAAATAAACTAAGCTTGTAAGATTACATTTAGGAAAAGAGAGAATGCATGGCTTGACAATACTTTGTCCTAAATATTGTAAAATAAATGAAATAAACTAATTCTATGCCATTACCATCGTGTATTTTTATCTCACTATTCATTTACTACATTCCTTGGGCCTCTTTCAAGGCAAGACATTTTGTATGTGTGAAGAAACAACTGATAGGTAAAGCTTTTCAATGTTTTCATTTGACTTGGCAAAACCACCATTTTCTCTATATATGCCAATATAGTAATTTTGGGGATTCAAATTTTATTCTCTCAGCAGATTGTTCTATTGCTAACTAATACTCTAACCTGTAATATTCTAATGAGCCTGGCACATAAAGTGTATATATATATCTTGACCCCTAGCTATAGCATTTACTTGGGATTTTTTTCAGTTTTGAATGCCAATTTTCAAAATTCCTCATGTTTTCTAGATAAGAATTCTGAAAGTTGGAGTTCCAAAACATTGAAGGAGACCAGGTTGGGAAGGGCAGTGTATTTTAATAATCTGTTTCAAGTGAGTAATGTATCCGCTTTTCCTAAAATTACAGGTTGTATGTATGAAAAAGGTCCAAGGCAATTTTATGATGACACTTGTGTTGTTCCAGAGAAATTTGATGGTATGTTATATACATACATTTTTTTGTTCATCTGTCCAGTCTTATAGAAGAAGTTCTATGTAATGAAATCAAAAGAGAATAAAGTTTTTTACTTTATAAAACGGATAGTAATGATCCTATTGAAGAGAGATAAATATATAATTTGTTATTTGTGTGGTTGACCTTTACTTTTAAAAATCAAAATATGTTTTGCAATCTTATCAGTCTGTTTTTGGAAGCAAGGATTCTAAATTCAGAACCAGGGCAATCTATTTTACTTCTAATTATTACTTCTAATTATTCCAATGAGTCATAGATAGATTTCAAATGCATTGATAATGGCATAAAACCTGTTATTAGAGATGTATTGAAAACTGATCTCATAATTAACAAGCAAAACAGAATGCAGTTACTCTGCACTTACTAATAATCCAAACTCTTATCTTATTTTTCGATCCCCAAAGAGATGAATTATAGAGAGCACGAGTATATCTGCTTTTCTATGTGTATCAGCAATTTTATTGTTATCTCTTGTATTGCTTAAAACTGATGCCCAAAGTGTAGAGTATATAATATAATGCCACATATTGTCTTTAAAAGAATTTTTAAGATAGCTAACTAATATGTGTCATATGAAGCAAAGCATATTGTACTCATTATCAGATATCAAACAAGTATGTGTTCTGAAGGGAAATTACTAATAAGAGCAAGGTTGCTTTTTGTTGCCAAAGGATTTGAACGGGTATTCTCCCTGGGAAGTGGAGACAGCAGCCAGATGTGGGTTGTGCTCATTGGTCAGAATGTGGGACTGAGCCTGTCAATTTAGTAAAATTCCGCTCCTGTTGCTAGGGGCTCCCAGCTTTTTGCTCAGTCCGTCAGACTGGACAGTTGTGTGGATAGCTTGCTCTGACAGCTTTCAGTGTTAGAGTATATTTTAATTCATACCTGTTTATTCGGATTTGACCATTGGACTTCGTATTTGACTATTTTTCTGCTTACTGAAATTTCTGGAAAGATTTTTACCTCAACATACCTTGAATAACAACTCAGGCCCATTGAAACTGGTCAGTTTTCAGAGGTTAGTGGAGCTTTCCGCTCCCGTTGGTGACCCAAAGTCACCTGCTTTGCCGGTGGGGTCTGGTCATTTAAATAGCGGTGTCTTGTTGTGGAGCCTTGCGCTCCCAGCTGTCTTCGGCCAGCCAATTTATAACACCAACTGCTTTTCCTACTGTGGAGTTTTTTTTTTTCGCGCTCCCTGAATCTCACCACTTGTCGGCATTTGAATCAAGCTCAAATTGCCCTGTGATCTCAAAGACCGCCTCACAGCTGATTGAGGTTAATTGCCAGCTTTGTAAGGAGGCTTTAAACTCCCTGGTGATCTCCATTTATTGGAGCCTTAACAGGAGCGCTTTCTCTTTCCTGCAGGATCAAAGCTCTACAGCTGCCTTTATAACCGCCTCTCAGCTGATTCAGTTGGCACTGGCTTCGAAGTGGAGTTTTCGCTCCTACTCCTTGCTGCTTGTCGGCATTTACACAACAGCCTCATTACCACAAAAATTTGACTGATTAACTCAGATACCCTTGCTGCCTTTCTATTCGGGCCACGCCTCAGCTGATTTTGACAAATTAACTGTTTAACACAGATTGCCTTCTTACTGGAGTCTGAGCCATGCCTCAGCTCATTTGACAGTTGCTGCGGCTCGAGCTCTTAGGTGACAGCTCTGCCGCCATTTTGATTAAGGGCAAGGGCAAGAGCTTTCTATCAGGCCTCCAGTCTTTCTGGGCTGTGCCTGCTATATTCAACTAGCCTGCCTGTAGGAACATATTCTGTCCTTATAAGCCAAGACAGTCAGGTCTGGCTACTGTTTTTGGGTACAGCTAATTTTGCTTCATTCACACCTTTATATTACTTCAAGTTACATTTAGATTGAAATTCCCCTATTACAGGGCTGTAAAAAAATTTTCACGGGGTGTCATTTACCTTCCCTTGAGTACTTAAGGCCAATCATGCCTAAGGCTCTGGCCAAATCAAAACATGGCCGCTGTGCCACAGTGTGAGAGCAGTCAGTGGCTTCTAAGCGTGAAGATTCCACGCATGCACAAGGGGAAGGAGTAGCCATTAAACCTCAGTCTGAGGTATTGGCTAAGCACAAGGAGAAGCTTCAGGGGTCCTGCACCATCTGCACCAGCCATTGGGTCTCCAGGTGAATGTAGACATGACCCTTCTCTGACCCCAGATCAGATGTCGCTGCAAGATTTCCCACTGTCAGTTGAGTCAGCTGATTTATGGGGATCTCCCCCACTTCTGGGGTGTATCAATAATGTGGAGTCTAGCGCTTCCACTGTGTCAGTGGTTCATCCATCTAACGATTCTGTTCCGGTCTGAGCTTCTATGGAGGTCGGCCCGGCCGGTGACCATGATTGTGTCTCTTTATGTCCAGAGGACATTCAACATATGATTGAGCAGCGGTGCAACAATCCCTGTCTGCTCATTTTTTTCCAGCTGCCAGATCAGTTCAGGCAGATACGGTTCATTTGACTCATTCTACTTCACCAGACAGAGTCGATCTGAAAGATGTCCTCTCACTTGCAGGCTCAGATTCCCCATCCGTCTCCTGTGTCAGCAGACACTCTGTGGAAGAAGAGATGGAGTCTCAGGAACCAGAGTTGTTGGAGGATGAGGGCCTACCTCCAGATCAACCAGCATTCACGGGCTTGTTTCCACAGGCTCTATTTAAGTCACTTTTATTTAAGGCAGTTAATACAGCACAGCTTGGAAATACTTCACAGCCGGAACCTACTCCGGCTCCAGGTTCCTTAGATCCATTGTTTGCAGAACCACCAAAACAAGTGACTGCTATTCCGACACCACCGCTTTTTCTGGATGTCATTAGAAAGCAATGGTCCTCTCCAGCTTCGGCTCCGGTGCCTTCATCTATTGACAAAAAGAATTTCACTGTATTTTCTGAATTGTCTACCCTACTTCAAGTGCCTTCTATCGACGCACCTGTGGCAGCCTTGTTAACCTCAGCCTCTGTTCCTGGTGATCCAGAAGAAGGCCTTCGGCCGGAAGAGCACAGGTCGGAGCAAGTTCTTCAGCGGGCTCATCTCGGGGCGGCCTGTGCCATCAAATCCGCCTCCACAGCTTCATTTTTCAATCGATCACTCTTCTGTGGCTCCGCCAGCTACAGGATAAACTCTCCCCCGATGACTCAAGAATGAAGCAGGACTTGAACAAGATTGTAGCTGCCGTGCAGTTTTCTGCAGATGCTACTTTGAATGTGACCCGCTTTGCAGCTAAAGCCTTGGCTTCCTCCATTGCAGCCCGCCGTTTAGTGTGGCTTCGCCATAGGCAGGCTGACATTAGACATAAATGGCGTTTAGCGTCAGTCCCCTTTTCAGGCACGAAACTGTTTGGGGAGCCCCTAGAAGCTTTCCTCGTGGAAACCAAAGATAAACAGAAAATATTACCTACAGTTTTCCACAGAGGGGACTCTTGTTTTGCTCCTTATACACCTCAGCCCCAATTCAGACCACCAGACGGGGGTTTGGGATCTTCCCGTAACACCAGTAATTTTGTCCCCAGAAATAGGGGGTTTCAGGAGAGACCACCTAGAGGGAGGCCTTATGGGTCTAGATGGCCCTTTCGAGGGGGAGGGGGTCATTTCATCCGTCGCCATCATTAGTAGTACCGGGGAACCTCCCATTGGCGGTAGATTGGGCCTCTTCGCCAAGGTTTGGGAGCGTACTACTTCAGATTGCTGGGTCCGGGCCTCCATTCGATCAGGACTGGCCATTGAATTTGTTTCCACCCCTCCTTTGTCTTTTATTCGCTGTCCGCTGTCTCAGGTTGCTGAACGTCGAGCCCTTATGGAGTCGGTGATTAGTCATCTTCTTGCCATTAAGGCGATTCAACGAGTGCCTAGAGATCAAGCAGGACAGGGGTTCTACTCTCGGGTCTTCTTAGTCCCTAAGTCCCTTAGTCCCCTTAGTCCCTAAGTCCTAAGGGACTAAGTCCCTTAGTCCCTAAGTCCCTAAGAGTCTTATTCTGGACCTTAAATGTTTGAACCGATTTGTAATCTACCGAAGGTTCAAAATGTAATCCTTGCGATCAATTCTGGACGGCGTACGGAGGGGCGACCTCCTCTGTTCAATAGATCTTACGGAGCCATATCTCCATATCCCCATTCACATTTCTCATAGGAAGTTCCTTCATTTTTGTTATGCTGGGGTTCACTACCAGTACAGAGCCTTGCCCTTCGGCCTTTCCTCTGCTCCCCGTAGCTTCATCAAAATTTTGGCGGCTTTGGCTGCTTACCTCAGGCTTTGAGCCGTTCATCTCCAGTGTTATCTGGATGACATCCTCATTATGTCACCTTCCCATCAGCAGGCCATTTCAGATCTCAATCTTACAATTTAGACGCTAGCATCGCACAGCTTCTCTATTAACATAGAGAAAAGCCACCTAGAGCCCTCAACTAGAATTCTCCATTTAGGAGTTATAATTGATTCAGTGGAAGGTAAAGTTTTCCTCTCCCTGGATCGACAAACCGGGTTGAGATCTCTGGTAGCTAAGGTCATAAAAGATAGAAGGGCTTCTCCTTTGTTACTTTCAAAACTGCTGGGCAAGATGGTCTCGGCCATCTCTATTGTTCCCTGGGCCAGGTTACACCTTAGAGACCTTCAATGGTTTCTCTTGCCTTTGCAGAAGGCGGGCAGGGGATCTTCTTCAGCCAGAATTACAGTTCCAAGGGAGGTGCTCGCGTCCCTTCGCTGGTGGCGATCCCCTGCAATTTCCAAGGGCTGCCTGTTCCTGGAGCCTCAATGGGTGATAGTGACCACCGATGCCAGCCAATTTGGTTGGAGAGGTCACTGCGGGGCGCAAGTCACTCAAGGCACAGCGTCCGCCATGGACACTGCTCGCAGTATCAACTGGTTGGAGCTGCGTGCGATTTACTTGGCACTTCGAGCTTTTCGACATCTGGTGATCGGCGCACATGTGTTGACAACACCTCAACCAAGGCCCACATGAATTGCCAGGGCAGCACCAGATCCAGGTCTCTGATACAGGAAGCAAAACGACTAGGACTTTGGGCAGAACATCATCTGGCTTCGTTGAAGGCGAATCATATATCAGGAGATGCGAACGTGATGGCGGACTGGTTGAGCTGCCAAAAGATAGATCACGCAGAGTGGAGCATCCACCCTCGCCTATTTCAGATGATGGCAGATCACTTCGGCATGACACAAGTAGACCTGTTTGCATCCCAGCAGAATACCAAGCTACCCCACTTCTTCTCCCATTTTCATTCTCAACAGGCAGAAGTGTGGATGCCCTGCGCTCCCCTTGGCCACAAGGCCTGCTGTACGCCTTTCTGCCAATTCCCCTCATCCCGAGGGTACTTTGAAAACTTCTGCTAGAAAAGGCGGAAATAATTCTGGTGGCACCACATTGGCCGAGGAGGTCATGGTTTGCAGACCTCATAAATTTATCAGTGTCTCCTCCTTGGAGGATTCCATGTACACCCGATTGCCTCAGCCAAGGGGCGATTGTACATCCAGAGCCTCAGTGGCTACAGATGACCGCTTGGCGGTTGAGCGGGACGCTCTGCAGTGGGATCACATCCCGACCTCAGTAATTCGTACTATACAAGCATCTCGCCGGTCATCAACGGAAAGAATTTATTCGGCCACTTGGTGGATCTTTTCCTCTTGGTGTGAACTCCAAGGCTTCTCCATTCTTCGAGCGTCTGTAGTGCAGGTTCTGATGTTTCTCCAGGCTGAATTGGAAAAAGGTCTTTCTCCCAACACCTTACGAAGACAGGTGGCCGCTATTTCTTCGATCCTGACTTACAATTCCACTCATTCATTGTCACAACATCCGTTGATTCGGAGATTTCTACGAGGAGCAAAGAATCTCTGCCCTCCAGTACTACATCGGTACCCCACTTGGGACCTTGCACTGGTGTTGGACACTCTTATGGGGTCTCCATACGAACCGCTTGGTTCGGCAAGTTTACGACTTTTATCAGGCAAAGTGGCTTTCCTGGTCGCTATAACATCAGCGAGGCGAATTTCTGAGATCGCTGCATTGTCTGCCAGGGATGATTTGTGTGTATTCCACACGGACCGTGTGGTCCTCAGGTTAGATCTGATATTTGTAACCAAGATTAATTCTCCTTTTCACCGTTTACAGGAATTGGTCCTTCCAGATTTCTACCCTTGTCCTTCTAATCCATTGGAGAGCCAGCTGCACATGTTGGATGTAGGTCGGGCTCTTCAGATCTACCTGCAAAGAACTGTTGATATTCGTAGGACAGAATCATTATTCATTTCCTTTCTCCCGGCGTCTTTAGGACACAGAGTGACTTCATCAATGATTGGTTGTTGGATCCGAGCTACGATTACTACAGCATACCAGCTCAGGTCGTTGCCTGCTCCTAGTAATGTGACAGCTCATTCTACAAGAAGTGCTGCAACGTCAGCTGCCTGGGCATTGAGTGCTTTGTTGCTTGATATTTGCAGGACAGCTACTTGGACCTCTCCTTCTACATTTGTTAGGCATTATAAGTTAGATAAATTTGCCTCCGAGGAGGCTGCCTTTTGGAGGAGAGTGTTACAGGGTGTTGATATGCGGGGAGAGTCTTCTGCCCAGACTGTTCCCTCCCATGAGCTGGGACAATGAACTTTGGCATGTCCCACATTTGGCTGCTGTCTCCACCTCCAAGGGAAAAGGGGCATTGGTCCTGCCTGATACACCCCTTCTCGTTGGGTGGAGACAGCAGCCAGCCCCACTCTTTATTCAGTCTGGGATATAATGTTGTATATATATGCTTCCACACACAGAGTCTGTCTTCCTCCTTCGACAAAAGCTGGGAGCCCCTAGCAACAGGGGCGGAATTTTACTAAATTGACAGGCTCAGTCCCACATTCTGACCAATGAGCACAACCCACATCTGGCTGCTGTCTCCACCCAACGAGAAGGGGCGTATCAGGCAAGACCAATGCCCCTTTCATATCACATTAATTGTGTTCCTCTTCAGCACTGGGGAAAACTGCTTTGCAAAACAGACAGCTAAGTGGTTTATGTATGGAATTGATAGTTGTATCCATACTAATATAAAACCTTTAAAAAAGTAGAGGGACAGTTATGGCAGCCAAAAAACAAGGGAACATGGAAATTGTAATGGTTCTTTTCAGCTTTGCAATTTCTTGAAATATATTCAGTCAACATTCTTTGGCTGAAAGGTTTGTGTTATCTACTTGTCCATCACCATTACCTCTTCATTCAGCTGAAAACAGCTAAGAATCCCATTCTTACTTTTCCCTTTAAATTCATGAGAACTTAATCCCCTCCTTGAGCTTCTACAGGTGTCAGAAATTTTTTATCATTTCTAAAAACCAAAAATCCTCCCTAAAGGGGAATCCAGGGAAAAGCTGTGCTCTCATAATATTCATGCTTAGAATGAAACGACTAGTTCTTCCTGTAGAATAGTATCCAAAAAAAAAAAAAAGGACATGACCATATGACTGAAGCATCACTTCTTTCATATGTGTTTTGCATGTGACACAAGTAAATATTTGATACTAACTACTAACTTGACTTCTCCCCAAAAGATACTCCTGGAAACACTATTATATATTTGATAATCCAATTTTCAGTCTTAAATTTATTCAGAGGGCTTAGTTAATAACATTGACTCATTCAATTTCACAGATAATGAGGTGAAAGTTCTCTAAACTTTTCATCTGTATGGTGGTGAGGAACTTACTATCAACAGATTAAATAAATACAGCACTAATTTAATTGTCATATGATGTAGGTTTTTTTTTAAATCATTCCTCGGTGTGGGAAATTCTGCATTTAAAAATAATTGCAGTACTCATAAGATGAACAAAAATATTTTCACTTATGAACTTTTAGCTGACAATTGTATATTTTGAATATTTTATTCAGTAAGGTTCTTTTAAAAAGCATGCAATTAGCATTTTATTGGTTCTTGTGGGAAAATATAGCATGTAAGATTATCTTTGAGCTTTAATATATAAATGTACACTTTGTCAACTAATAGTGCTTTTCAGAAAATTGTGAATGAATAGCTAAGCAATGTGAAATACTAAAAAGGAACTGATTGATCCATAACATTTGAATACCATACAATAAAATCCTGTTAAATTTTATTCAAATATGTTAAAATTTTTCATATAAGTATTTGCAGGCAATAGAAGATACATACACTGTTTTTCCTAATGAGAGATTATATCAAGTATTGCATACAAATAGAGTCCTTCAGATATCACCATTTCCAAAGCTGGATCTTGCATAACTTTTGATAGCTACTTTCATACTGTATGAATTGACTCTGGAATAAGTAAGTAACATTGTATTTTAATAAGTTTGTAATTAGCTATTTTCTGAAGAAGTATAGTGCACTACGTTGTCCCAAAGTCATGAATAAGTATCCTGTGTACCATTCCCTTTCTCTCTTCTCTCTTGCTACAATAGTATCTATTTTTTTCTTTGTTGGTATTAAATTTACTCCATCCTTGGGTCCAATGAATTGAAATAAATGAACCCACATTTTCTTTTGCATAGGTGACATTAAGCAGGAGCCAGGAATGTATCGTGAGGGCCCCACATACCAGCGGCGTGGTTCCCTTCAGTTGTGGCAATTTTTGGTAGCTCTTCTTGATGATCCGTCAAACTCTCATTTCATTGCTTGGACTGGCCGAGGTATGGAGTTCAAGCTGATTGAACCAGAAGAGGTGAGTAGGGCCTCCTATATTGCATCTGTGTACTTTAAAACATTGCTGCAGTACTTTTTCTTCTTTCTTTCTATATTGTCTTCATAAAACTCAAAAGTAATATTGTCTTATGCATAATGCATTTTTGAAGTCCTTAAATATAACATTTATTATTCTGTACATGTGTATGACTCCATACACATCAAAGCTTGCAAGAATCTACTGCATTAGACTTGCAATCTATCTAATCTACATGTTGCCACCAGTTCTCAGCCCAACAGCACTAGGATTGATTATTGTGGAGAAAATAGGAGGAGGAATCACTGTGTTCCTCACATTGAACTCCTGGAAGTAAAGTGTCAGGGTTCCGAATATAAATCCAATAAATAACCTTTCCCTTTATCAGTAAGGTTGGCAAATGGGGATCTGATGTGTCTACTGTACACATTTATACCTTGGCTAAGATTTAATTCACACATTTTCAAGCATGTTATTGTCTTGAAATTCATTTTCTAAAGAATCTAATTCTACCACTATCTAGCTCTTAATATCTGAACTGGGCCTATATATCTTCTCTGTTAGCCTCTCTTTCTGTCTTTATATCCATTTTCATATGATCTGTGATTCTTCACACCTTTCAGAGATCATACACATACACCCTTTCATATGTAAAGAGCCATGCATGGATTTTCAGATTCTATCATTCATTGGAATGCATTAAAACCTCCAAATTTCCACACAGATGCAGATACTATTCTGTTTGAAATCTTTTACCCAAAAAGAGAGGAATAGAAAAACTCTTAGAAAGGGCTAGAGTTGCTGCTTGAACTTTAGAGGAGTATTGGTGTGTTTGGAAGAAGCTTAAGAATTGTGATCCTCAATAGTATGGTCGAAGTTAAGTTTGGGGAAATGATGAGAAGATATTTGGCGAGAACCAAAATAGATAAACAATGAAAACTAACCAGCTTTTGTGAGCCTGAATGCCTACTTCTAAGCAAAAGAGAGAATATGAAGGAATGGAATTAGTAAAAGTATATAGGACATCCCTAGAAATATGCTGATATTAAGTTGCATCCTAACATAACATCAATATTCAAACTTGAAATACATAGTACATTAGAAAATCTTAATTTTTTAAAAAAATATTTAGCTAGCATTTTTCTTTGAAAAAATATAGCTAACATTTTTATTTCATTTTTGTTTTTATCAGTTTATTTTTCTTTTCAATTATATGTTTAGATTATGTCTATATTTTGAAAAACTGCATTTATTTGCATATTATTTATTGTGCATTAGTTTGAACAATTTATGATGTTCAAACATAAATTTAAATGGCCACCTATCTCTCACACAAAAAGTGATTTTGGAAGATCACAAGGGTTAAAAACAATTTACTAAATCAACTGGATGCCCAAAGTTACAATTGCACACCCAGCTCATGTCCTGTTGCGCTGCAGATTCTTCAGGGACATCAGATCAACATACATTCTTCCTCTATTAGAGAGGAAGAAATCAGATAATTTCTTCCTGAACCATCTTCAAAATTCAAATTCAGCCACCACTTGTGCAGTAACAAAATTTTGTGCTGCTTCAATGATAAGGAAAAACACCTAAAGAACTAAAGATCCTTATTCATATTACTACTTTGCTTAATTTTTTAGAAAATGCATTTATTTTAATGTTTAACTTTTGTGCTGGTCTGTGACCATAAATAAAGATCTATTCTGATTCTGATTTACCAACACACCCAGCTCAAAAAGACAACAAAAGGCTTACCTAACTATCCATTTCAAATGACTCGGAGGCCTTTAATGAAAGGAACCTGCAGCATATGCCCTCCTTGCTACATCTAGTGGGCCAAGGATAGATAAGAGTAGACAGGCAGTTTCATAAATAATCTGGCACTATGCCATGTAGGGCTTTATTGATGACATACATTGAATTGCATCTGAAAGCCCATTGTGAGGTCATGCTACTCACAGAACAGAGATTTTGTACTAATATGTAACACAACATAACATAATGTAATATAACATTGCTATATTACATAACAGAAAATGCACCACTGCATTTTGGACCAGCCATTGCTTCTGTACTTTCCAATGCAGAGTTAAAGATGGAATTCTCTGGATCAGAGGACTTTAAAATTCACATCTACTTAATCTTGATTGATTCAGTTGAGCTGAAACCTTCTTCACCATCCAAATTTCCAGGCTCTGGGAAAAAACCTTGACAGTAGCACTTCGGTTGATCCAAGTTGGGGATTTATTTATTTAGTGTATGTAACAGGGTTGAGATATACAATCAGATATCATTAGCCCACTGACATTATTTATAGATGTGAGATATAATATCAGCAGTAGTTTCATGCAGGTGTCAAATAGGTACATTGAGACACCCTCCATGTACCTCCATGTATCTAAAGACACCCTACAAAGCAGAGGTTTTAAACTCAAATTGTTCCTTTCCCCAATATCAATTAGAATTGATTCTGGAAAAAGGAAGAGAACCACATCAACACCATGCCTCCCATACCTATAAATCAGTCCAAATTATACCATGACAGATGGTATCAAAAAGTTCTGAGAGATCAAGGAGAGATAATGAGATATATCAAAATGCAATCGATCAATGCATTCAATCACCACATTACTATGGGCAGGCCTAAATGCTGACAGGAAGGGATCAGATAATGCCAGTTTTATCAAATTTATAACAAAAATTTATAAAATGTAACAGATCAATGCTAATCTCTCTTGATGACAGGTGGCACGGCGCTGGGGGATTCAAAAAAACAGACCAGCTATGAACTATGATAAACTTAGCCGTTCACTTCGCTATTATTATGAAAAGGGAATCATGCAAAAGGTGAGAAATTTGTATTTTTAGTATTTCCGTGAAATATTGCATGTTAATTTATAAACTGGTTTAAAAATTCAAGTATTTCTAAACTGCATATCTAGTATGACCAATATAAGGAAATTCATGAACTGTCTAACTTTTAAATTTCCTTATGAAACCTTCTCCCCAGCCTATTATTTCAAAATCCATGATTTAGAATGTGAACATTGATGCAAATTGAAAAGCTATAGTAGGGTTTTGGTCAATTTTGTAAATTCTTCCACACCATTAACAGATTGGCCTGCCTAATGCCTCTGTACATTTTTCTCCTTCACATACCCCCATGTCAAAGAAAACACAACCCTCTTGCAAAGTATGTTTTTAACTTTCTTCAAAACCTTTTAAGGAGCCAAGACTCAAATCTGATGCAGATTACAGTAGTTATCTTCAAAAGTTTCAGAAAATAAATAGAAAACTATTATCCTCGATTATAAAAATTATCTCTGTATGCGTGTGTGTACATGCACAGATACACCCACAAACACACACACACACATAATTGATTGTAATTATAGTGGTTCAGATTTTTTTGGTCTTCATTTTGACACTGCAGCTGTTTTTATGATTGAAGCTATACATGTCATTCTTATGCTATCATTTTATTTTCATAATAATTTCCTTAATTTATAAATTTGCTTAATTTAATATTAATAAATGTAAATTTGAATAATAAATTTGATAAATCAATAAATAAAAGATTAAGACTGCTGAGAGAAGGATTAGAAGATTTCATATGTTGCCAGATGATGGTGGCCAGAAACCTTATCCATTACCTATACTACTTGAGGCTATTAGAGGATGTAATTCTGTAATATCTGAAATCCATGCACTGAGAGGAAGAGATACAGTGATTGGCATAAGAGTATTTGATTTCAGTGGCTTGTTGGGGATTTCAATTTTGTTTCCCCAACTTAATCCAGTATTTACACTAATAATCAGGATAACTATAAAAGTGTATTCGATATTCAGTATATCTACTGTTTTTCTTAATCAAAACATAATTGTACTGCCTTTTTAAAGCCAACCTTATTCACTTGTTTTAAATAATCACTGTAAAAACCGAATTAACCAAAACACAAATAGCATTTGCTCAAAGGGGGAAATAAAATCAAAATCTGATGAAAGAGGTATTTCATTAGGCCAACAGTACATTTGTGAATTAACAGCTTTTAAGCTTCCGAGAATGCTTTATCAGATAAGAAAAATATTTTCTTCAAAACAGAAGGGTCTGTGAGTAGGAAAATATATGGTTGATGCCAGTGGTGGGTTTCTACCGGTTCGCCCGAACCGGTAGTGGCGGCAGTGGCAGGAGGCTCTGCCCACCCACCCGGATGTCAACACAGATGCTCTGTGCATGCGCAAAAGTTTCTGTGCATGCGCAGAAGTGCCACATGCGAGTGCACACACAAGCACACTCCCAGTTCCAAACCGGTAGCAAAGGTAAGTGGAACCCACTACTGATTGATGCTAACCAAGTTAGCATCAGATTAACATCTCTAGGTGTTGAAGTTACAAGAAAACATGCAAATGAGACCTTATTTTAAAAAAAGCATGTTGTATTCTTTCAAGAACTTGCCTCAAAATTACAGGGATGAAAAAACGACTGTCATTGAATGATACGCAAACTTCCTGTTACAGTTTCTTTGGGAAACGTAGCCATAATAAAACCCATGCAGAGTGATAAAAGTCCTGCCACTTTGCTAAAGGCAGGCACAAAAAATGGTGGGATTCAAAACCCATCTGCTTTTTTATACTTGTCTCAAATAACCACAGCCTCTCTTTTCTGAGCTCTTGTGAAAATAACATCTTGATGGAGTCCATTATCAATTTTCTTTCTTGAAGATGAATGTTTTTCTGATGAAGTTTAGTCACCTCCACATCAAAATAGCCTGATGGTATATAAATACTCAAAGCTTCCAATGCACTTTTCATCCATCATAAAATAAAAACAGAAAACAAACCCCATTTGGCCTAAATAGACAGGAACAGCTAATACAGCATCAGCTGATGTGATACAATCTAACTTCAATTGCTTCAAGCTTCAATAAGGCTCAAGAAAAGAATTGGAATTTAAATATATATATATATTGGAAACTAATAAGACTGTCCTTGGCCTGTCTAATCTTGTGGGCACTTGTCTGGCAGTTGTCTCTTCCTTTGTCCCTCTTCTTTTCCTGCATTTGGGACAGCAGAAGCTTATTAACAATGAGTCATAGGTTTGGATTGTTCAATATATTTTTCAGATTAAAACAGTAATGCAATTCAAAAGAATTCTCTATGTTGGGATTATTTTTTAAGATTATGTTCCCTGAACCCTAGGGTCTTTTGTTTTTGTTTTTTTGTTTTTTACTAAATGATGGTAGAGTTCCATGACAGACTAAGAGGAAAAGAAAAAGTTCATGCAGACTCACCCAATTTTTCTATCACTAGAGCTTGCCTCTCATCAAGAGTTCTAGGGTATTTTTTTAAAATGAAGGTTCTACAGCCTGAAAAGGTTTGAAAATCCCTATTCAATGTAATTATTTTTAAAAAATAGTAAAGCCATTAATCTTCCATGTCATTCATTGTCGTCTAATTTTTGCCCAGTTTTCCTTGTGCATCTTGTTTTCTGTGTTCCTGATGCACAAAATATTTTTTTGATACCCCTATATGGCTGCAAAAGAAAATTGTACTTCTATCTCTTACAGCCTTTCTCTTTTCCACCCTTCTCCTTCTTTAACATTGCTCTTAAGGTTGCTGGAGAGAGATACGTGTACAAGTTTGTTTGTGACCCTGAAGCCCTCTTCTCCATGGCCTTTCCGGATAACCAGCGTCCCTTGCTGAAAACTGACGTCGAACGTCATATCAATGAAGAGGACACTGTCCCTCTGTCCCACTTTGATGAGAGTATGGTCTATATGCAAGAAGGAGGCTGCTGTAATACCCACCCTTATAATGAAGGCTATGTATATTAATTGGATTGACAGGAGTGAAGCCCCTTTTTCATCCTAAGCTTCTCCCTCTTTCATGAGACCAAGACAAAAGCTGAATTCCCTTCAGTTGATTTTATAAGAATAAGGATTAAAAACTGTAAAAAGAATAAAAGAGTACTATAAAGGGGTTTCTTCTGTTGTATTACTCCTGTAGTCTGACATGGACAGTGCACTTTATTTGAAAAGGGAAGTTTAGAATCTAATTGTTTATTCTTTGGAACAGAGGTGGAAAATACAGGTTTTAAGTACAACAAAGCTGTATCATATCTGAGTTTGTTTCTGTTTCTTACTTGGTTAAAAATAATGTACATGTTCTCTAATTACCCATAGTACAGTTAATTCTAGACGTGATCAATAACCATTTGTACACTACCTGGAGAATTATCTGTCATGGACACTCTCCTCTCTCTCCTATTTTCACTATAGTCTAGCCATTTTTCCTGTCTTTTTTTATTGCTAGATAGATGTTATTTACCCTTTACAAAGATTGAGCTTTGCACATTCAGAATATGTGCTCTACCCCTGAGCTAGGGACCAATAATAGATGCTGGATTTGAAAAGAACTAGAATTAGATTTTTAGTTTTGTTCCTTAAAAGACAGGTTCTACTTTTATTTTATCTCTTAAAACCATATCTATGTATCTTAGACACTACCTTGATTCTGTACACGTCATTAAGGAAAGCATTCATTCTGATCCGAAGAACACAGTTCCTGATTTGTGATTATAAATTGCAAGGCTGTAGCTTAGCTTCTGATATCAGGTGCCATCTTGTTATGCAAATACATCAACATTTAATCTTTTTCAACTTTTCAACATCCACCTGAGTGTAGTAATTGTTTATACTGAACTATTCTGCATATTCTTTTAACTTTATGTACAGGACTGTGATCGCAAAGGTGAGACAGAATGCTGTCCTTCCACTTTCTTTGATTCATAAATAGGTTATTCAATCAATAAGAATTAACTGTACTAGTTCTCATATCTCATTATGCTATTTCAATCCACAGCAGTTTCTCCTTCAGCAAAACATCCAATATACAAATAAGTACTTTAGTAATTTTAGACACGATATCCAATAATATGCATTTAAGCCTTTATACTGCTGTGTTATGTTGATAAGCATATATACATACTAGCTAATGCTATCGCTTCTGCTGCTGTCTTTATTCCTGTAATACTCTCTTTGCTGAATTTACTATGCTCTTTATAAGCAATGCTGTAACTACAGGTAGCATTCAGGACAGAATAGATAACTTGAACCTTTTACTGCTTAGAAAAATAGCTTATGCCATAGCTGTGCTATAAACAGCTTTTATGTGCATTGCGACATGGATAGGATTTTCCAGCTTGCTAAAGAGGAGCTCTGCTGGACCTTTTATAATGCTCCGTGGAGCAGAGTCCTCTACATAATATCAAAAATAGTTATTTTTTCTTTCTTTCTTTATTTCTTTTTTTTGGGCTGTATCATGTAGTGCTGGCACTGATGCTTAATAATTTTGTTAGGGACACTAATTGTAAGTGTGATTAGGTAAGTTTGGGAAACCCTTTAAAAGTTGTTTTAATTTTGGGGAAGGCAACATTGGAAAGAAGACAAAGATCTTATTCTTGAGATCAAATTAAATGAATAATATTTAAGAAGATCTTATCTTCAGTGTTAACTTTTTGCATTGAAGCAGGAAATAGAAAGCATGTTTGAAGTTTGGAGAGTGGTTTTTCAAACCACTTCTCTTCCAGAACATCCATCCCAATAGTCATATATATGCTTTGCCCAGAAATCAACTCTGAAATAGAGAAAGGGCGGATAGGAGTCCATAATTATTAGTTTCAAAAAAAATGTTTCATTGTAAATGACATGATATCAGAGATGCCGGGATGTGGTGATTTACTTTGCACTCAGTGTTAGTCAGGAACCTATAAATCTATAAATGATTTATAATGCAATTCATTTCAAACTTAATGAGTATTAACCACTGTAAACCACAGCTGCAACAAA